TTTGCTATACGGGGACGTGCCGCTGGCCAGGGTATGGTTTTTGGCCTTGCTGTCTTAAACAGGGTATACATTTTACCCGAAATTGTCTTAAACAGGCTGTATAATTTAGATAAAAGAGACCGATATAATATTTTTGTGTGTCTTGGACAGGGTAATATTTTCATAACACCGTAGAAATAGTAGAAATACTGTTTCACTGTCCCAGAATTAACGTGTTATCAAAGACTTCTTATTGTCTTTGATGGATATCAGTATAATTGCAGTTTTGATGGTTGCGGCGTAGATAGCTATTCCTTATTTTTCCGATTTGTCTTGAACAGGGTATGGATTTTTACTTTTTAGTGTCTTAAACAGGGTCAGGGATTTAGACCGCTGGCGGCACGTACCTATCCAAAACGGGGTCGAGTACCCCCCGGGCCCCCAAAGGGCGGGGGTCCTCGGCGTCCCTTTTAGGGTTTGAAATCGGTATTTTGGTCCCGCTTTGGGTCATAATGACGAGAATTTCCCCCAACTGAGTTTTGTGGTCCCTTTTAGGGTATATGACGTCCCTAAGCCGTCATATTTCCTATGAAAGGTAGGTGCTGCATTCAACTAAAACAAAATGACCTGTTATTGATTGGTCCCTTTTAGGGGTGAAATTTCAGCACGGATGAAATTTCAGTTCGGATGTTAATCCTTCGTCGGAGTGTCCTATTACCTAGTCTAACACCTGTGTACGTTATGTGAATTGAGAATGCATTTTGGGTTCTATTGTGTTTGTAATTCTCACTAGCTTGTAGCTATCTAACACTTGCTTTCAACATCTTAATAAAAAATCTTTAATAAACAAATAAAAAAATATTACACAATAACTTGAGTCTCCTTTGCACCCTGATAAATTGGTTTTGTCTTTTTGTGCTGAGAATGAGACTAAAGGGTTTTTTTTACAATTTGTACAGCAATCATACACCATTATATACAGTTTTATACACAATCATGAAAACCAACCCAAAATGACGCTTCTCTTTAAAAATAATTGGAAATATCTTGATCACAGAGAATATTGAAATAAAATGGAACAGATGTGCTTTGAGACTATACGTTGCCAACACCAACACAATATAAAAAAAAACATTTTGCACACAAGTGCATGACAAAATGAACAATTTATAAAAAAACTGATACGTGTCATCAACTAAAGTTAATTATCAGCATATTAGGAAGGAGGAACTTTGATCAGATATTTGTTTCTGTTTTTTTTTCTTAGTTCCTTTTTCTTTCTCTTTCTTTAAATAGAGTTTTACTATAAGCAGGTGCATTATTTTTCCCTGCCGATCACTGGCAAATAGTTTTCTTTCCTCCTCATGCTCATGTCTGGAATGGAATCTACCTGGTGTGGATTTTTAAATGGACTTTCAAATATTTATTTTGTGCAAATTTCTTTTTGCAATGAGAACATTCAAAGGGCTTCTCTCCAGTGTGTGTTCTTATGTGATCCTTCAAAGTCTTCAAATGTCTAAATATTATTTTGCAATAAGAGCATTCAAAGGGCTTCTCTCCAGTGTGGGTTCTCAAGTGTTCATTCAATGTTTTCTTGTGTCTAAACTTGTTTTTGCAGTAAGAACATTCAAAGGGTTTTTCACCAGTGTGAGTTCTTAGATGATCTTTCAGAGTCTCCTTGCGCCTAAATTTCTTCTGACAATGAGAGCATTCAAATGTCTTTTCACCAGTGTGAGTTCTGAGATGACCTTTCAATGTTTTTTTACCTCTAAATTTCCGTTGGCAATAAGAGCATTCAAAGAGTCTTTCTTCAGAATGCACTTTAAGGTGATTTTGCAAATGAGATTTGCATATAAATGTCTCCTTACATTGTCCACATTTAAAACCATTTGTTTTTCCTTGTGCAAAGTTATCTGTTGTTTCAACATTGTCTAAATCGGAGTTGTTACAGTCACTTTCCCCAACAATGTTTAGGGTCACCATTTCACCGATGTCTCTTCTTTCAGGCTCTTCCCTTTCTTCATCTTCAGACCCATGATCCTCGTGTGAGGCAAATTCCACATCTGAGTGATCTTTAACTTTTTCTACAACATCTGGCTTTTGTTGCGTTGGTATTTCTTTGCTACTTTCAGTACTGCTTACATTAATGTACATGGAAGTACAACCCTTATCACAGCCAGTATCATCTGTCTGTGTTCCAGTTGTACAATATTCTTTGCAAAGGACTGGCTCACCCAACATGGTACTTATTACACTACCTTGTCCTGTTGAATCCTGAATCTGTTATGTGCAAAAATTCATGAAATGTTAGAAACAAGCAGGATTTTAATTTAAAAGAAGTTTCAAGGCACAAGTTCATTGACAATGGGCTTCTGAAGGATGAAAGCCAAAAGGTAGACAGAAAACAACTTTGAGACTAATGCAGAGGAGCAATACATCTAGCTGAGAAAATGACTATAAGCAGAGGGCTCTGTGTGTGGAAGTCTTGAGAAACGAATGGATGTGAGAAGTACTTTATACTCAACTTACATTAGTTGGCCATATGAGTTCTCCTGTCTTCTTGTTGTAGATAAAAAGCGTCCTTCCTGACAAACACTTGTATTGTATAACGTCAGAATCCATTTTCCTCAAATACTATATTGACCTTCCAAAAACAATAAAATGCAATGGAAGAGTTTGGAGGTGGAACTTTGTAGGATATAACATATACATTAAAATAAGCATCCCTACCTCGATCTTTTAGGACTTTCAATAATACTACCAGTGCAGTGTAAGACTGACAGAAATCGCTAGTGTAACGGATGAGAAAGAACAGTTAAGTTTCGGTTTACCCCGATTTATAATAACGTATGAAGAATGGACGACCTCAGTTTCTACCAGGCGTCACTGGGAGAAGTCACCACCAGGCTCCTCTCGGCTCATCGACTTGAAACCGTCAACGCAGGCAGCCCAATAAACTGTTCTCAAAATAATTAGTCGGACTAGTTCGACTTGAGTTTTACATTTTAGCCAATCAAACAATCTATCTATCTATCTGTGTATTTTGTCGCGTTTGGACCACCGGAAGTTAAGAATTTAATAATTAACTATTGGGTTGGCTGTGTTATTATATGACCGGAAGTCTAGGCATCATAAGTACGCTCATGTGCAGATCGCATGGAGCTTCGAGTAACCAATAACCTTTCTAGCGACAGTCTTGTGTGGGCAAATATTTCAAATTAGAACAAGAATAAACTTTGTTTATCAATGACAAAAAGGGGACTTTAATGATTTTATAGGTATATTTTACTTTGTAAAGTATTTATTTTCTTGGCCTAGTATGTCAACGTATTATATATCATGATGTCACTTATAGCGACATTTTGTCTACCAAGTTTGATTTTATCAGTCAAAGCAAGGACTCTTTTAAAACGTTCATATCGGTGTTAATTACATGACCTTTTAGGTCAAGAAATTTTGCATATTTTGAACTAGACGCTCTTAGTAGACCCAGAGTTCGGCTATTTTCGAAAAAAAAATAAGAAATATATTTCAAAAACTCATACATAATTAATGAGTTATCAGGCCAATAGAATGAGCCTATTTGGTCACATGCATGGACCTTTATATCTGATAAAACACTCCTCTTAGTATTCTTTATATAAAACAGCTAGTCCGACTTCACGCTCCAAGAGCGTCTAGTTCTACTTAATAGTATCTTTTGAAACTACAGAAAAGGATTGCTATACTTCGTCGTACGATGGTGTTACTTTCTTTCTTTCTTTCTTTCGTCCACCGAATCAGTCTGGGCTGTGGCAGGAGTCCGTTCCTGGAAAAATAGGATCTAAAGGAAGCGGAAAATGAAAACTTCTTTCAGATGAAGGCTGCTTTACTTGTTTTAAGAATAGCTCCATTCAGATTTAATTTCTTTTTTTTAAATTACATCATTCTTTCTAATTCAAACCACCTTAACCACCATTGGATCCACCCTTGGGTATTTATAATTAACACTCAAGATCATGAAAACATTTCAGTTTCATAAACGTCAAGAAACCACAGTTAGAAGTCAAATTCCAATTTCAATCTTTCTTCTGTTCTTTGTCATGTCATTTCCATTTATGAATTCGGCATGTGAAATTCGACGTTCATTAGGTTCTGAAATCTAACTATGTACGTGTTGTCCCTACAGCTTCCACGCCCATGTTATAGTGGAATGACGTAGTTAATTGTTTACATCCAAAATTTATAATTTGAAACTTAAGCAATCATATAATTCAAGATTACATTAATCTTAACAAAACCTAAAAAATTTAGATCAAACACCTTTTTAAATTTCGAGATTGGCATTTTAAAACTACAAAATCTATAGAARTTCATGATCAGTGGTTGGCAGCATCATGCCAACCACGGTCATTTCTTTAGAAAATCTTGCAAATTCGGCGCTTGATATCTCTTAAAATATTCAGCCAATTGCCTTCAAATTTTCAGGAATTGCTAACAGGTATAAGCTTTTTCATTTGTGGGTTTGATATTCTTGTGGCTTAATATTCGAGTTCTGACTTTTATGCAAATTTTGTAAACCGTAAACATAGGCGTCCGCCTATATTTTAGAGAACTTTCATTCATATTTGACAAGCAAATGGCTTGCGTTGTCATGTGTGACAAAACTGGCCCCCTTAAATGACAACTCAATTCCAAATTGTATAGTAAAAAATTGATAACCACGTTCCGTTGATTACTAGTAGATTGTCCTAATTCTTTACCTTTGTTTATCGTTTTATAATGTCAGGAAAATAAGTTTTATCGGTGAAAAAAGTCATACTTTTGACACAACTTGGCATTTTTTTTTAGGCCTGCAGCAAACATGTTGCCTGCTTTGGTTTTAACCGCAAAAAGGTCTATTTCAGTGATTCCGCGTGGCTGGTAGTATGGAATTAAAACTAGCTGCATCTATTGTTCTTACCACAATCATGTTCCACTTTTCTGCGAATCCTCTCCGTTGCGGTTTTTGCTTTTATTTCATGAACTTTGAACTTAGAACAATCCAAATACATGTAGCTTTAATTGCATATTGTTTTTATAAGAATCGACGTACAATCTAATTATGAAGATGACCTTAGATGGTTGCATTAATTCGCTGATACATGCTGTTATTCAGACTAAAAATTTGTTTTGAATGAAAATGAATATACCGACGGAAGTAAGAAAAACGTCTGTGCTTATGCATGCTGGAGTTGCTTGTCCCGAGATCTGAAGAGCCGGAATATAGTACACACCAAAACATAAAAATTCTACTCCCCAGTATATATGTTGGACATCCTGTATTCTCCTTTTGTTTTTACAAAGGATTTGTATACACTAGTACTTTACAAAAAAGATTGAGACTGATATATACGTCTTTTGCAGTCTTTCAATGAAAACAAAAGGACAAAGATGTCGCCCTCAGTGTTTCTTGTATTATTGCAATTGTCAGAATTAACAAGAAGCTGAAGTGCGGTATGAACATTGTCTGCGGCACGTATACAATATAGTGTGATTTACCCTAGGAGGAGGAGGGGGGAGGTGTACTCCCCCTACATTTGGTATACGGGTATGTGCCGCGATAAAGGGTATGGTTTTTCGGCTTTTTAGTCTGGGGTAGGGTGTCCTGCTTTGACATTTTTTCTGGGATAGGGTATAGTTTTTGTCTGGGATAGGGTTACAATTTGGTCGTTTTGGTCTGAATAGAGCTTAATTTTTGGTCAGTTTTAGTCTGGAATTAGCTGCGCTTTTGGTCGACAGAGAAACAATGTTAATTCCGTTTAAAAATTAGCAAAATATGATGTACAATTCACAGGTTAAGTCTGAGATCGAAATTTTAGGTCTGAGATAGGGTCAGGGTATCGGCTTGCGCCACACTTCCCCCCTCTCCCCTCCCCGGGAGATGATTTTCCACTCTGCATGACGAGCGCTTTTTACTTTAGTCTTCACTTGCAGTATCAGCAAATAAAATACAGAAAGTTTTCAACTTGGTATTAATTCTCTTGAAATTAAATGATTCCTGGCATCTCCTACAGCAACATTAAAGCATAAATATATCACATGCGAACGAAGTCTGCAGCAAGTAGAGACCTGTCCCCGCCTTTCATATCCTGTTTCAACAAATGAACTAAAAGGGGACATTCCCTAAACAAATCACGGTCTTTCGCGGAAAAGTCTCTTGGTTTTCGATCATGTGCTGAATGACCCCGGAAAATATGTGACCTTTCCGGGTATATAAAGCAAGGAGGTGATTTAGCTCGTCGCACTTGTGGTACATACGTTACATAGAGACAGAGCTTGTTAAAGGTCGACACAGAACAGGACATCCGATTTTTAAGGTATAAATATATTTTATACTACAGTAAATTTTGAATTGGTTTAATAGCTGGTGTTAAGTTAAATAGCTTAATGCACAGCAACTCCGCATTGCAGAAGATTTGATTTACTTGAACCGCTCATTCATTACATTGATTCTCTTAAAAGAATGCATGAACAAATGAATCAAATGAAAAATTTCAGCCTGGAAAAATAGATTTTGGCACATATTCCTTTTCTTTGTTAGATGACGATGAGATTTCTTTTAAGCAACTGAATAGCCTTCTTGTTACGACAAATAAAATACACCGAATAATAAAGTTAATATTTGAAGCAAAAGATGTTGTGACATTCTCTTTAACATGTAGCAACAGGTTATGTCGGTTGTGAATATCATATCATATACTTTGTTTTGGAAAGTAGTTTCAACCGGCCTTCTAAACGACTAGCTTTTTAAACACTGAAATATGTCGTCTAAACAGAGAAATATTTAGTAAAGAATCCGGCAGTGTCCGTAATGGCATGTTACAACTCATATACAATTTTTTCATAGTTTCCGTGACTTGACTTCAAGAAATTCACCATGAAGTTGGCTGTGGTGTGCTTGATGGCGATAATTGGATTTACTGTTGCAAAAGGTAATCAAAGTAAATATTTCCAAAAGCTTCCTGTTACAACTTGCTAAGACTGAATTAATATCTGACGGTAATTAAAGAAAAAACAGTGAGTCCTGTATTTCCGTCACTTATCAAAATAGTACAAGGATCGTGACGGAAGCCACGCACTTGCAGCTTCAGTTGGCATTATAAAATGAGTTCTTTACACTGATTATCGCTTATTTGCAAATTAAATCAAAATATTACGTTATGTTTACTATCAGTTTCATTTAATTCAGTGAACTTCTTACCATTTTTTTAACCCAAAATATGCACTATTATCCGTCCCCAAAGTTTCGATAAAGTTGTCAGAGGTAGGAGAGAAAAGAGAAATTCACAACATTCTTCATTCATTTCAGGGGAATTTTGGCATAATCAACCTTCGCTGATTGCGTAATAATGTCGAAAGAGGATTTGCATATATTGCACAATGTGCTAAACGATCTAAACTCAGTGAACTGTACTCTTTTCCTCTGGTAATTGATGTTTTCTCCTCTTAAGTTTTCAACCTGCTATATACGACGTTACACAAGAGTCTCCACATTAAAGCGCTTTGCATTCTTTGTTGATCTTTTTGTAAAAAGGAATCAAAAACAATTCAAAGACACAAAGGAAACGCATTATTACGACCGTCCCTTATGTACTTGATAATTTAATTTGCGATTGAATTCGCAGTTAAATTTGCTTATGATGATGGATAGCGGTTGTTTAATCAAATTGCGAAAAAACTGAGCTGGTGTCCCTCCCTTGGTGTCGCGCACTCCCTAACCTCAATCAACAGGCTAACTGAACTTGTGTTGTAATCGTTGCAGAGGACTTGTTAAATGAACTTGACAAGGAGCTTCTTTTCGACATTCTTCAGGAAAACAAACTGGACGAAAGAAATGGTAAGTAATCCATACTATCTTAACCTTTCGGCTGTTTTTTTTCTACGGTCAGTTTTTAAGTCTAATTAATTACCATCCTTACTTCAGACCATTGTTGCATTTTAGTCGTGAAATATGCACATGCCAACTCCTGGATCGAACACTAACCACCATTTCCCCTGCCATTTCTTGAGCATAACAACATAGGCATTGTGCATTGATGCTATTTTGTGTATTTTGTGTAGCAAAATGTTGGGAGTTGTATTCGAGCTCTTTTTTATAGTGTCCACTAAAACAGTCTAGCTTAACAGACTTTGACTTTTATTTGGAAGAAAAATAGAAGAAACTAAGGTGTTTCTACAAAGAAATTATAAAGACCATCAGGGGATTTCTTAGGGTCTGTAGAAGAACGAGAACTACAACAAGTGCCAGAAATAATTTGCTGTACACAAAAATGGCGCCGCTGTATTTTGTCTATGCCAAGTTCGTTCAGCTTTCAGGGGTGGGCTGAATTGAGTAAAGTTAAAATTTGGAGTTTGCTGACACTAATATGCAGTCAGAAAACTGATGACACCTATATCTGTTTATATTAACAATAATATCTATATATTTTAAGATCCTAATTTCTGTGCTGGAAAAGCCAACGGAGACTACGCCGATCCTGCAGACTGCGCCAAATACATCACATGCTCCAATGGTATAGCTATTGCTGACAGGAATTGTCCGGRCGGATTGTATTTCAATCCCAAAAACAGCGCCTGTGACTACCCCAACAACGTTGACTGTAAATCAAAAGGCAGTGGCGATTGCAGCGGGAAGCCCAATGGGGATTATGCTGATCCGAATAACTGCTATGGCTTTATTAAGTGCTCTAATGGCATTTCCTATTCAATGAATTGTCCTTCAGGCCTCAAGTTTAACAAAAGTACAAAAAAGTGCGATTATCCTAGTAACGTTGTTTGCTCAGGTTGGTAGTAACCCAATGATCTAAGTTTAAAGTAGAAATCGGCTGTTGTAGTATTGGTACAAGCGCTATCCAGCAGTGACCGGTTGTACGAAGGGTGGATAAAGTTATCCACTAAAATGGCTTTGTATAGATTTTGATCCGATGGATAAAGATTTATTCGATAGTTCTTACCCTTTTTACAACCGGTTCCAGATATATGATCAGAAACTGTATGCATATTTGACGTAACATATAAAAAACGCTTTAAACTAGACCCCTCAGTTGCATGTGACATGAAAGCAGCTTCATATGGAGGACAAAACAAAATATTTTTGCTCTCTTGTGAACTAGAGTCCAATGTTTTGTTCTCCAGCTCTCATGTACTGCATGGGATCTATATCCATATTATCTTTTATGTCAAATTTATAGCCAACGATGACGTGGAATACGATACGACTGCCACTGCTGGAAATGATGCAGTCCCTTCAAAAGATCCTTTCTGCAAAAACAAACAAGATGGCAACTATGTAAACCCTTACGAGTGCGACGGATTCATAATGTGCTCGAACCATTTAACTTACTTCTTTGATTGTCCTTCCATTCTACAATACAACCCTAAAACAGATAGATGTGACTGGCCAAGAAATGTCAACTGCGGTCCCACTCCTTCGCCAACAGCTACCAGACCTACAAGACCACCAGTTACTCCCTCGCCCTCCACATTTTGCAAACGAAGACCCAATGGAAACTACGTTGACCCACAAAACTGCGAGGGATTCATAATGTGTTCGAACCATTTGACCTACTTCTTTGACTGTCCAGCTAACCTGAGATACAATGCCAAGACTGACCGATGTGATTGGCCACGTAATGTTAAGTGTGGTCCCACTCCTCCGCCAAAACCTACCACTAGACCTACAAGACCACCAGTTACTCCATCGCCCTCCACATTTTGCAAACGAAGACCCAATGGAAACTATGTTGACCCACAAAACTGCGAGGGATTCATAATGTGTTCGAACCATCTGACCTACTTCTTCGACTGTCCAGCCAACCTGAGATACAATGCCAGGACTGACCGATGTGATTGGCCACGTAATGTTAAATGTTCTACAACGTTATTGAGTGATGTCCTTGAGACATACGGCAGGAATAAGAACCCATTTTGCATCCTCCATGGGGATGGTAACTACAGAGATATAACCAACTGTGAGGGATACTTTACGTGCTATAAAGGATACCAAATCTTTCGTGAATGTCCAGGAACCCTTAGGTTCAACCCTATAACCAGAAAATGTGATTTACCGAGGAATGTCAAATGTGGAGGAGCTGGAGGAGGAAAACGTGGANAAAGCAGCTTCATATGGAGGACAAAACAAAATATTTTTGCTCTCTTGTGAACTAGAGTCCAATGTTTTGTTCTCCAGCTCTCATGTACTGCATGGGATCTATATCCATATTATCTTTTATGTCAAATTTATAGCCAACGATGACGTGGAATACGATACGACTGCCACTGCTGGAAATGATGCAGTCCCTTCAAAAGATCCTTTCTGCAAAAACAAACAAGATGGCAACTATGTAAACCCTTACGAGTGCGACGGATTCATAATGTGCTCGAACCATTTAACTTACTTCTTTGATTGTCCTTCCATTCTACAATACAACCCTAAAACAGATAGATGTGACTGGCCAAGAAATGTCAACTGCGGTCCCACTCCTTCGCCAACAGCTACCAGACCTACAAGACCACCAGTTACTCCCTCGCCCTCCACATTTTGCAAACGAAGACCCAATGGAAACTACGTTGACCCACAAAACTGCGAGGGATTCATAATGTGCTCGAACCATCTGACCTACTTCTTCGACTGTCCAGCTAACCTACGATACAATGCCAAGACTGACCGATGTGATTGGCCACGTAATGTAAAGTGTGGTCCCACTCCTCCGCCAAAACCTACCACTAGACCTACAAGACCACCAGTTACTCCATCGCCCTCCACATTTTGCAAACGAAGACCCAATGGAAACTATGTTGACCCACAAAACTGCGAGGGATTCATAATGTGTTCGAACCATCTGACCTACTTCTTCGACTGTCCAGCCAACCTGAGATACAATGCCAGGACTGACCGATGTGATTGGCCACGTAATGTTAAATGTTCTACAACGTTATTGAGTGATGTCCTTGAGACATACGGCAGGAATAAGAACCCATTTTGCATCCTCCATGGGGATGGTAACTACAGAGATATAACCAACTGTGAGGGATACTTTACGTGCTATAAAGGATACCAAATCTTTCGTGAATGTCCAGGAACCCTTAGGTTCAACCCTATAACCAGAAAATGTGATTTACCGAGGAATGTCAAATGTGGAGGAGCTGGAGGAGGAAAACGTGGAAGGAAATTCTGCCAAAATAAGAAAAATGGAGACTATCGTGATGTTCTAAACTGCAATGGTTTTATTAAGTGTTCTAATTCGTACACCTACTTCTTTGATTGCCCTTCAATTCTGAGGTTTAATGTACGAACTGACCGGTGTGATTGGCCAAGGAATGTCAGATGTCCTTACTAGATTAAGGTAATAATCTTCAGTCTTGATCCAACTCCCCTTACTAGATGCAAGTTCGCTTTTCCGCATACCGTGGAATCTCCCCTAGCAGACRCGGCCGTAGATCGGAATAAGTATATACAATCATCCTTCAATATTGACTAAAATAGAGCAAAGTTGTCAAATCAGACCGCGACTATTTTATAAATTTTACAATCATAAAGGAATAACAAATTTAATATCAATTTTTTTTTCAGGGACACCACGGGGATTCTGTGCTACTGGAATTGCTATATCTAACAATGACAAATTCATGAAAATACATATATATCTCAATTCTGAGAGAAAAAAAGAATCTCGACTAAAATCAATAATTTACCTTAATGTAACAAGATAATGGCAACAAGAAGCGATTTTTTTTACATTATACAAGTCTTTACTTTATTTCTAGCTACATGGGGGTTATACGTTACTGAAGTGTTAAACAATTTTTGTTAACAAATTAAACAAAACGAAACAACTCAATGCATGTGTCCTGTGTATTTGCTTTGTTTCTATGGTAACGTAAACTGACCGGACTACTCGCACACAGCAAGTGCTGAAWAGGCAATTTGCAACGACGTCATTTTGTGCAACAAAGCATGATTGTAGCTGCAGTCCTCTCCACTACAACAGTCCTCCTTAGCAGTTTTTGTTTTTCTAAGCAAAAATAGTAGTTCTACCGTTTCTACTGAGAAAATGTAAAAACAGCTCTTAGGGAGATATTTTAGGGTCTCTAATAAGTATGACTTCTACAACTACCATCATGCCTTGCTGTACATTGCCTATTGTTGTGACAAGGACAGAGCTCTACTACATGATTGAGTGTATAAATGAGTACACAGCAACATGCAGAAATTATGTTCAATTTGATCCATATTCCAAGTATATATAAAATATATCAGAAATTATGAGATATTATGTCCAATATTTGTTTTGAAGTTGCCTAGCACTTCACAGTCGAGCTGAGTAGGATACGACTTGCGACAAAATTCTCAGTTTGTAGATATCTAGATATCAAATATCTCAAATATCCTTCGTTACAATCTGCTTGATTTTTACCAGCCATGGACTCCTTATAATAAACAGTTTATTATTATTTCATTATTATTCTATTTTTATTATTTTTAGTTATTTTTTTTGTATTTTGAGATTTTGAGAAAAGTGAAAGGTGTGCAAAAATAATTACAAAAAATTTGTTAAAAAACTCCAACCCGCCATTTTTATATCACAATGTACTTTAGTGTAGATTAATTAACAATCAAACTGCCGCTTTTCAAGCAATGAAATACAAGGAGTTTTCCAGTATCGCAGCCTACACTTTTATCTGGTTTCCTGTCCCTAAAAGGGTGGGCTGCGAAAGGAGACTAGAAGATTTTGCTTTCACTTCGAAACTGACGGAAAATTAAAATACGTGCCGCGAAAAACTGTAGGAATCCATCTTAGTTTTGAGCAATTTGAATGATATCTTATTGTAAAATGCATTGGCCTGTAGTAAACAGCAGTGATTTAATTACATTTTTGGAAACATTTTCAATGTTTCACAGATAATGTAGAAAAAGTACATTTCATGAGTCTAATAATAAGACGACGTCAAACAACTTTTCGATGAACACCCTCAATATATTTCCTGAGAGAAGCATCGACTTTACTGTCCTCCGCGTGCAGCTCCTGTGTGTATTTGGAAATCCATTGCTCGACTGGCTTAGGAACAACACGTCTGCCATGGAGTAATGGCTTTACAGGACCATCTATTATAGGAGTGTCTTGAAATGTGACAAAACAAGTGTCAGGATAGTCACATGGATTATCGTCCAGCTCTAGCATTACAATTTTACTGGGTTGACTTGCGTACAGCAACGACGCAGGGACATACAATGTTTCTTGTGGTCCTGCAGATGTCCAGTATCGACCCAGATTGAAGCCATTTATAAACACTTGTCCCTAAAACAGGAATTGCTCAATGAAAGATTTGCTTTTTTTTCCCTATTTAACTCTGAGCTATCGCCAACACACCGAGTGATATTAGGCTCCATCTGTTGGGGTTGATTAATGAGGTACGCAATAGCTATTGCCCGAGTACCGGCCCTCATCCACAGGGATCCCAAGAAGTCCGCAGGCTGCGCAACACAATACGCTTCACATGGATAATGAGCGAAGCGACTCTTCTCCAGTCCACTGCATCACTTTTTCAGTGTGCTTTAGATTTTCTCTCTCTGTTGTTATATCCTATCTGTGCTTTCAAACATATTCTTATATCTTCTTAGCCAGCCTATCACAGCTGATATGTACTGCCTGTCTTTTGCCTGCTTTCGTAAAATTCATCTTTTTATTCCTGATATTTCAATGCAAAATTCAAGGATTTATCAAGTACAATTTTGGCACAAATTTTAAAGGATCTCATTGTTTTTGCATATTGAGAAGCTTCTTCCAGATCTGACCACACAATCAGACTCATATCGGGCAAAGGTCTTCATTTAGAGTCCCTTGACAATACATCTACTATAAACATTCCTATGTCAATTCACACTTGTAACACAAACTGACTTAGTAAAAAATTGCGTAAATTACACCGAAACGAAATTATTTTTTATAAAATGTTTATCTAAAAAAATTATCACTATTTTTTAAAATTTCATTAAATTGAATGAGAATATTTTCGACTGCCATTCGTCTTTTCAAGGGTTTTCAAGGGCAGATGCCGTGTTTCCCTGGGTGGCCAAACGCCTGAGCTACAGGTACATCTCTTTAGGTGTGGCCGCAATTGGGCGGGGCCGACAGTCGGATTTAATAATACTGTTACGAACCTTTAATCTTTTTAATGACTTTTATGTACCATTGGACAGAAAAGAAGTTCTTATCCAGATTATAATATCGTTTCCAAAGACCAGCTATATGCACCTATTTCAAAAAACGTTGTCGTCGCCAGGACACAGTCCAAAGTCTTGAGCCTGCAAAGAATCTCGGGATTTCCATGTATAATTATTTATCATATGACTCGTATTTCGGCCCTACGCGCGCTCTCACTGAAACCTTTGGAAAATGGTCACGTGATGGGGTCCGTACGCCTGTCCGTACAAACCCGTATTTTCCCGGCTTGAAGTTCCGCGCGCTTTTATTTATTTTTTTTTTTTTACATTAAAAAACGCTGTAATATGGTAAAATGCTTATTGACTGAGTTATGTCCGTACGGCATAACCTCGAGCCAAATATTTTCCCGTACGGCCCTCCCACTCAGTCAATAAGTACATATTATATTCATTTTCAGAAATTCTCGGTCTTGAAGTGAATACAGCATTGAAGCCCACTGACGTTTTGAAAACGTGGAACATCTTTCAAGGAAAATATCTCATGGCGAGTATAGTACTGTTTGCCGCCATTGAATTTAAACCACATAGGCAAATATATTTTGAATATATTAGTTACGCATGGAAATCCCGAGATTCTTTGCTGGCTCAGACTGTGGACTGTGTCCTGGCGACGACAACGTTTTTTTGAAATAGGTGTATCTTACCACAAATTTCCTGGGGTCGGTTGTACGAAAGGCGAATAGCGCTATCCACGGGATAAATCTTCATCCAGCGGATAAAATCCCATACAAAAATCTATGGAACTGATAACTTTAACCGGTGGATAACTTTATACACCCTTCGTACAACCGATCTACTGGCTTTTAGGGAGATTTGTCAGTCTTATTTGTGAGGCTGCACATTTTGATGACTATCTATCCATTTCTCTTCCTGGTAAATCAATGTCTGCCTAATTGTATGTCTAACTATTTATCAAAAAACAAACATACCTTATTCCAATTTTTGAGCTTCAGAAAAGTGTCTTTAGGAATCCCATCACTTGCAGGTGGGATTTGACCAGTAAAGAATGTTGGCGCATTAGAAGAGATTAAACCAGATGACGGCAACACTTCAAGATGATATGGCTGATATCTCAGAATGTTAGTTAAGTTCAAAGGCCTCATTTGCCAATTGGTAAGAGCTACATTGTTGATAGTGACATTTCCCAGAATGCCTTTCGGGTCGACAAGGAAACGCCCATAGTTGATATGGCCCATGTTTTCTATAAGAATCGAAAGACTGAGGAATTCTCCAATAATTAGCGTGGCTGACGTTTTGCCTGTTCTTGATATAGTTGCTTGACGAATCTAGAATAATAATGTATAATTCATCACTTCTGTTTTATCGCATTTTACGAAAACGTACGACCAGTGGATTTTTCATGTCCACAAAAGCAGTCTAGCTTAGTAGTTTTTTCTTTATAAGAGCCGTTTCTTCAATGAAAGCATTAAAACAACAGCTTTTTGGGAGATTTTCTAGTGCTATTTCATTAAAAAGTGCAGGAATACAACTACCATCATGCTTTGCTCTACAAAATGGCGTCACTGACCCTGCACATTCTCCATTCAACAGCTCTCTTTTTTCAAACAAGTGGCACAGTAGATTATTTGCCTTACCTTTCCAACGTATACTATTGCTCTATCTCGTACACCAGGAATATCAATTGTTACTGAACTATGGAGATATTGTTTTGGGATTTCTGTTTGATAAAGTGCAAAGCCATGGTATTGTCCAAACTGTTCCATTGTCAGGGGATATACAGCTTTGACGGGCTCCATAGGTGAAAGAATTGAAGCAACATCAATGAGATAGCTCATCTAAAATATTACAACAAGTTGAAAACATTTTAAAAATCAAAGAATGTACAAACTGATTTGCATAGTTTATATTCAAATGTTAATTAGCTATTTCAAAAAACGATTCTCGGAAATATTGCACAACACGACTAAAAGCGTCCATCCATGCTCTGATGATGAGCAGAACACTACCTAATTATTATCATAATTTGTAATTGTATAGGAAACTTTTGGCTAGCCTGTGTACATCCGTTTCCCACCCCTTCCCCCTACCGGGAAAATTCGGGGAGGAAACGTCTGTGATTCGGCGTCCCCAATCGTGCTCTAGGGTCACGTGAGCTTCTCAAGATTTTGAGAAAGAATTTCATTGGCTGTTGTATTTTAAGACTTGTGATTGGTTACAAACACGCATTTGGCGCGAAATCGCAGTGTGTCGGACTTGAAAACTTTTATGGCATGGTCGATCGGAATGAAACAATGCGTTTTATGTTTTCAATTATTGACAAAACTTTGCGATTTTAATCTCTCCCCGATTTTTTCTGAGGGGTGAGAAACGGATGTACACAGGCTACTTTTGGCCTGCCATTGACTATTGTTGTCAACTGACATTTTTACCACACTTGTGAAAATTCTTTGATTGGCTGACAAGACTGCGTTAATAAGAGGGCTGTGCACACTGTGCTGACACCATTACCATCGTGTGCGCTCATTTGAAAGAAAATAAAGATTTTTGCCTAACTTTTAGATTTAAAATGTGGTAAAAAACAAATTGCCAACAGTTTTTCCGTTGTATGTCCTCTTGTTGACATAGAAAAGTTTGCAGTGAACCCACGAGTTTTGAACATTTTATGGAGCCAAGAGTGTGTCAATAAGAGGACATACAACTCAAAATTGTGCACAATTTGTTAAACATTTTGATGTCCAGTACCTTAGTCATGTTAACTTGACCATAAGAGTACTTCTGCGATGGTGGTGGTAAAATCCCAGATGGTGTTCCCATGTATCTGGAAATGATTTCTAACAAGACAAAATATTTCTGTGTAGGATCTCCAGCTTCACTTAGAGGGGCATCATAGTCATAGCTTGTGGGTTGTGGTTGGAACTGGCTTGCATTGGATCCACAGTTTGCACCTAAAACACAGTCCAATTCAATGCAATTAATGCAGTCAATCAATCAATGCAATCATTCAATCAATCAATCAACAATCAATGCAATCATTCAATCAATCAAATTAGAGGGGAGCAAGGATGGCCGAGCGGTTAAAACGCCGGTCTATCACCGCTATGGTCCTGGTTSGATTCCCGGTCCGGGACTATATGTGATTTGAGTTTGTAGGCTGGTTCTCTTCCTTGCTCCGAGGGTTTTTCTCCAGGTCCGCTGGTTTTCCTCCCTCAGTCAAAAACTAGCTGTGAGGAGTGTCGTGTGGTAAAATAATGAATGTTGAGGTAGTGAGTATGAGTGAATATATAGAGGGCCACAAGTTTATTAGTCTCGAGACTATTACGTGCTACCCTCTCAAAATAAAAGACTTTATTTATTTTCATTTAATCAATCAACAATCAATAAATCAACAATTAATCAATCATTCAATAGTCAATCAACAATCAATCAACAATCAATCAACCAACCAATTAACATTCAACCAATTAACATTCAACCAATTAACAATCAATCATTCAATCATCAATCGATCAAGCAACCAATTAACAATCAATCAACAATCAATCAACCATTAATCGATCAACCAACCAATTAACAATCAATCAATCAACAATCTGTCAATCAATAAATCAATACATTCAGTCCCTCCTTCTGATAAAATGCAAGATATTGACAAGCAATCATCATAATTGATACATTAATCATGTTCTAGAATTATTAATTATATTTACCATTCATAAATCCAAATGTTGTTCCTCCTTCAAACATGTACAAGTTGACAGATGCATTTAAGGCCAGGATTTGGTCAAGGTATTTGGCTACTTGAGCAGTGTTGACAGTTTGGTGCTTCTCACCCCAGTGGTCTAGCCATCCTGGGTAAAATTCTGAATTCACTAGAGGGCCTTTGGGTTGATACTTTCTTAGAATGCTGAATGGTGTGGATGGATCTACTCCTGTACAAAAAATATTTGTATTTTTTCAAGAATAATAATTGAAAATAAGTTTTGTACACTAGCTGCATCTTTGTACATTAGAGGGTGGAAAAAGGAATCAGTTGTTATAATCGTTACAATCGCTAGGATCGCCACGATCACCGAAAATTTCAATGATTGTGGCGATCGTATGGAAACACTCTCCAGTGATCCTGGCCATCCTAGCAAGGAATCTCGATCGCTGGAATCGCTCAGATTCTATCTTGGTGATTGAGGTCGCTAGTATTGCCAGGATCGCTGGAGAGTGTTTCCATAAGATCGCTACGATTGTTGAGCCACATTTTCAGCGATCATGGCGATCCTAGCGATTGTAACGATTATATGTAAACCAGGCTTTAATATCATAAATCTTCACACATTTTCATATTAATATAATTAAGCAAATAACTATTCATTATTATCATATAATTATCTATGAAAAACCTATATTTCTCTCTTTCGAAAAGTTGTTATTTTCACTAGTGAAAGTAACACATTCAATTAGGTTAACTCTATATTGGAAGTAAGAAAAAATTTATAAACAATAATCTCTTTTCAATAAAATATGTATCTCCGCGTACTTATGTAATTGTCAAATTTTAGTTAAGATTGTCTAAAATCCCTCCATGTCGTACTAGGTATATATGGAGAATTAAGGTGATTTTACCTGATCCAAAGTCAACTGTTGTGAACAGACTGGGCAGGGTTCCACATTTAAGCATTTGCTCACTATATCCATCGGTAGTAAATAGAATGGTGTCATTTCCAAGATGTTGACGGAAAAGAGCTTCAAGGTGACTCATATAGTCATGGTCACATGTATAGTAGCTACCATATTCATTTTCAACCTAGCACAGAAAATAACTATAGGTTTGTCTTGATGCACTACTAGTAACTTTAGGATTGAAAAGTTGTATGGAATTGAGTACAAGTAAGAGTTTTTAAAATTGACCTTATCTGTGTGAGTGGAAACACTTGACAGTGAAAAAGAGGAATACAAATAGTTCTAATTAGAGCTGCAATATAGTATAGGTTATAGACAAAAGAAAACTAAGGAATTTGCATAATTTTACTATAAACGTCTTTAAAGGTTTTAGGGTTTGCATGTCTTGTAAAGCTTCCTGTGGAAGACCACGTCTCAAAATGCAAGTGGACTTTTCTCCTTCATAGTGAATATTTGGCTTCAAATTGGTAGTGCCTGCATTGCAGATGGTCATTGTGTTATTGTTTGGAATACAAACTAAAGTCAGGCTATGAGTATATACAATTGTTTACAAAGTAAATTTGACCGGAAATGGATTCAAATAGTCTGAGTACTCTCAAGTTTTGGAGATCTCCCTCCACCTGAACTACAGGAAGCCCACATAACGATCTGTGATCGTCTAGTATTTGATTCAATTAAGAAAAAATTAGTCAATCAAAATAATAAAAAAGACGATTTTGAAAAGTTCTTTGGATGTTATAATTTATACAAAAATCTCAACATTGTGCTTTAAGACATAATAAATGGAAAATAAAACTTCTACAGTCAATCCTGACAAGAAAATAAGGAACTCCTGGAATGGCTGTTGAAGCTTGTGCTGGCAGGGATTAATATAAAAATCACCTGTACAGAAATAATTGGTCCACCATTTTTATAAAGCAGCGGTTCAATCTTGGGGAGAAGGACACCCATCCATCTGTCTACAGCTTGGATGTATCCTGCAAACAATGAATGGACCATTAACTTATCAACCAATTTAACATGACATCTACATCTCTGTATCATTTAATATTCATTAACAAATTACCTTGATCTTTTGACGACCTAAGAATGATTGATTTGTTTCTTAACAGCCACCCTGGTAAACCTCCCTAAAAATATTAAAACATTTACCATCAAAACAAAACTGAACATTGGCTTATGCACCCCCAGAGATTGCCAACTATCTACTTCATGATGTATGTGAGAATGATTGTCACACTGAACTACAAACAATCAATAGGAATTGAACCCATGAACACTGAGATGCTGATGCAGTGCCTTAACCAACTTAGCTAAAAATTTCATACTTGACTTCATAAGGTAAACACAATGGGAAATCATTGCCGTGACAGCACCTTTATATGAACAAGAGATTTGTCCTGATTTGCATACGACTTTAACTTCGATTTTGTCTTACAAATAATATTATATCCTGAAGTTTTTTCCRAAATATGCTAATACCTTGTGTTGGAATTTGATAAGCAAAATAAAATATTCRCATCCGACCTTTGAAATGACCATAAAGGTCTCCCGCTCATATTAAATATATTACTTAACAACACAAGTCTCAAGGTTTCACTGTTAAACATAAAAATATCTTGCAATAACAGTAGATCTCCTCTTATTGCAAAGAAACATTGAACAACGTCTGTTACATTTTACTTACCAAGTCCCATTCCCCACAGATGTAAGGCCCTAGTGTCAAAGATATAAAGCAATCAGTAGAACATAAAAGCCATACATTCCTTTTTTTCTTGACTGATTTAGAAGGAAGGGAATTGGAGGATGGCAAAAGATCATGTATTTGCGAGCTTTGCCATTTGGACATCTTTGCAATTTCCTATCCTGGTAGCTGTGATTCAGAGCTATAGACGACCTTAACCACTGCTCACATAGCATTTACAATAACAATTATTGGTCTTTGTTTGTATATTACCTGGTCTCAATACAACAAGAAGTTGAAGGGAATTAGCAACATTGATAAACTCTACTAAGTCATTTCCCCCTTCAAAATTATAATGTCCTTGTTCTGGTTCATGCAGATTCCAAGCCACATATCTAATAAAAAAATCAGACAAAATTAATAATCATGCATTATACAAAATAGAATAATTAATATGTGTCTAACATTCCTAAAGTTCAAAGACTGATAGCATTTGTTATGGGAAAACTCTTACGTATCAACTGCATTTAGCCCTAGAAATTTCATCTTCAAAAGTCTATCAATCCAATACACTCTTGGAACACGAAAGTAGTTCAGAGTTCCCGATACATATCTAAAAGGCTTTCCATCTTTGAGAAAAATATCATTGTTGTAGTCAATCTTGAAAGATCGCTGATAATTTCTTCCACAGGCTCCTTCTGTTTCACTGACAAATGCCCCCAGCATGACAATAATTGTAATTACTGAGAAAGCCTGTTTAGAAACTCCAAGAAACATTGTGAAGCTCTGGTTGCTAAGGTGAATAGCAACTTTTGCAAATAAATGCTTTAAAGTCATAAATGTGACTGTATTCATCCCATTTTCTCATAAGAGGGAAGGTATTGTCGAAGAGTGCTGTACTTGAAACTTTTCAAGTTGGTTAACGGGCCATATTCTTCACATTAAGAGAGACAATATCTTCTATTTGGGTACCTGCTATCTACAGTCATTTGCTGTTATTACCTGTACCTCTTATCAAAATATAATTTCAGTTTGCTTAAAAAAGAGATAATAATAAAATCAAGCATTTATCATTTGTTACACAGTTCTAAGTCAAGCCCCTCTCTTGCTTGACAGGAAAAATGAATTAAATTGCATTTAAGAATTTTAACAATTAACATTTTAACAGTTTCTGTGTTATTGTGACATGCTTATTAAGAGTGTAAAAATTAAAAGACTTAAGGAATAGCAACATTTTCAACTAAAAAGATTAAAACTTTATGAAATGAAATGCTTGAAATAATTATTTATACTATATAGTATATCAGCTTATCAGATTTTATGTTAACTTTAGTGAATGAATCAATGTTGTTTTAATTGCCAGCACAGCATGAATTTACTATAACAAAATATATGTCATAATCAAATAAAAGATCATAAATTATGCTTGAAAWTTTTTTAGAAAATTAAAAGGTCATTTATGACCAATTTAACATTTTAAGATTCAACAGAGATTCATAGAGACTAAAATATATTTAGGATATAATATTCTCTACACTCTTTCTTTGTTATCAGAGAGCCCATATACGAATCAAAGATGAAGTGTGAAGAACCTGCTACAATGTTGTAATTATTGATGCGTGAGAATTTTAATTATGAGCATTGACAAATCTGGAAACATAGCACCATTCATCGAGCAAAGATAATAATTGCTCCACCCATTTTTGATATTAAATTCCTGAAATTGGTTCATGTGCACTGCAGTGTACATACATCTTGTGATCAGGCACATTAAAGTTTCTTTATATCTCAATAAATACTTATTTGCACCCTTTAAGTAATTTTTTTTCACGTATAAGTAGTACTCAATAATTTACTAGTAACTACAATATCAATATTCAAAATCAAAAGTAAAAATAAAACATTATTTTAATTGGTTTATAATGACTAAATGAACTGGGAAGTTACTTTTGCTTATAGCTTTCAGTAATTGTATTAATGAATATTTCATATTTGGTTAAATGAATGGTCAAATAGTTTCCTTCACGGTTACCTGCGCCATCTTGAAAGTTAGCCGTGCCTTTGCATCGAAGCGAGATGACCGTTGAGCGTGCAATGATAGAAACCTTCACACCTACAGACAATAGCCGACTTTAGATATTTTGGTTCAGTGACCATGCACAAAAGAATTGCAGACGAGGCTCCGGGGAAATAAAGAATAATACCATGATCACCTCGGATTCTTTTGTCTTCCGAGGGATGTTTACAAGCGAACATCCCTCCCTCATGAATGGCATGAGGGACGATTACTAGTAATCATCCCTCATGCATAATAACATGAGGGACGATTAGACTAATCGTCCCTCATGTTATTCATGAGGAACGGAAGGCAAAGGAAACCTTTGCTTCCCAGCAGGGACAACTGAATGTCCCTACAGCTGTCTTCTTTTTACCTCTGCAATGAACGGTCTGGTTATCGTCTCATTCACACTGAAATGTGGGATGATTTTTGGGACAAATTGACCGAGTAGCTCTGGTTCCGAGTATCTACTTCGTACCGCTGAGCATGTGCACTTGACGAATTTCAATGTTTGATAATAGTTGATAAGCTTCTTGGCATTATACTTGCAAATATAAAAACAACTTTTCGCGGTTGAAGTTAAGGTTCGTTAACTTCAGCATTGAATAGAACTGAAAAGCAATTTCAAACAAAGTTCGTTGTGGGAAATCAGTAACAATGGTCGGATTATCAATATCATTTTGTACTGTTGTTCGGCGAGTGATACTCTTAGAACAGTGCGTATCCTTTCTTTTCATGTCATATTCCAATTCATGCATGAATTGAAAACATTGGAGCATACAAAAAAACAAGAATTCAAATTCGCTCAAGTTCAACTTCAATTTTTTCCTCGGAAATCATGGTATTACAAAGTAATAGCATGGCTTCCTCGGGAGATTAGGGATTAAATGTCCCTCAGCCTCGGGCAGATAAGTAAAAGTCCCTCCGGCCTGCGGCNTGAATTCTTGTTTTTTTGTATGCTCCAATGTTTTCAATTCATGCATGAATTGGAATATGACATGAAAAGAAAGGATACGCACTGTTCTAAGAGTATCACTCGCCGAACAACAGTACAAAATGATATTGATAATCCGACCATTGTTACTGATTTCCCACAACGAACTTTGTTTGAAATTGCTTTTCAGTTCTATTCAATGCTGAAGTTAACGAACCTTAACTTCAACCGCGAAAAGTTGTTTTTATATTTGCAAGTATAATGCCAAGAAGCTTATCAACTATTATCAAACATTGAAATTCGTCAAGTGCACATGCTCAGCGGTACGAAGTAGATACTCGGAACCAGAGCTACTCGGTCAATTTGTCCCAAAAATCATCCCACATTTCAGTGTGAATGAGACGATAACCAGACCGTTCATTGCAGATGTAAAAAGAAGACAGCTGTAGGGACATTCAGTTGTCCCTGCTGGGAAGCAAAGGTTTCCTTTGCCTTCCGTTCCTCATGAATAACATGAGGGACGATTAGTCTAATCGTCCCTCATGTTATTATGCATGAGGGATGATTACTAGTAATCGTCCCTCATGCCATTCATGAGGGAGGGATGTTCGCTTGTAAACATCCCTCGGAAGACAAAAGAATCCGAGGTGATCATGGTATTATTCTTTATTTCCCCGGAGCCTCGTCTGCAATTCTTTTGTGCATGGTCACTGAACCAAAATATCTAAAGTCGGCTATTAATCACAGGTTTCTATCATTGCACGCTCAACAGTTGTCTCGCTTTGATGCAAAGGCACGGCTACCTTTCAACATGGTGCAGATAACCATGAAAGAGACTATTGAAATGTTGGGTGACTTGTTGATAAAAAAATAATATATCAGTTGACAAAAAGATCTTAGCAAACTTTGTACTTTATTTCCTATTGATCAAAGGATACGGTTATAATAAGAATTATTAAGTAACAGTGTTTACTAATCACAATGTTAGATTAAACTTGGAAACTTGATGAATTTTGTAAACTTTCTCTACAAAAAGTAGAAAAACCTTCTACTTTGATGAATTTTGTAAACTTTCTCTACAAAAAGTAGAAAAACCTTCTACTTTCTGTAACAAACTTTTTTAACCAACACATTATTTTGCTGTGAGACAAGTTAGCTTTCTGGTAGTACACGCAGCATCACCTTCCAGCTTGTTTTGCAGCAATGTAGCCAGACAAGTTGGACGATTTTGCTGCTCAAATTACTGTAATTATTCTATATTATATTATTACTATTACTGTACCTATTAATATAATCTATGTTATATGTGGAAGTTCAAAGGGATAAATTGACCCATTCAGCCGGATTTCCTATACTGAAACTAAGTGATGGGGGCTTTGAGCAAATGCACCTATTACTTAGTTAAGGTTTGCCCCAGGATGAAAAAGGGAAGGGATTTGACATCTTTGTTTTCTTACAAAAGTTCAATTTTCTCACTTGGAGGTCAAAAGCCATGCAAACAAAATGGGATCTCAGTCAAAATTCCCATCTAGAGAGCATTTGTTATCGATGTCAAATTCTCTACCGTGTTGCCCACCCTCCAACTTTGGGGCAAACCATTAATATGTGAGGATATAAGATCGTAAGCTTAGTATAAGCTTACTACAAAGCTTTGAAAAGTTTATAAATGATTCGTTCACATTCCAAAATATATATATTTCATTATCTATATTACTTTACATGTAAAATACGGCCTTTTGATACTAAATAACGACAATTCACTTACGTTTGAACAGCATTGAGACCAAGATATTTCAACTTCGTAAGGCGATCTTTCCAATCAGACCGAGGAACACGAAAATAATGCACACTCCCTGAAATATAGCGGAATGGCTGTCCGTCTTTTAGAAATACATTGTTTTCATAATCTATGGTAAACGACCTTGACTCTATCAAGGACGGTAAAGCTGCTAAAACATAGAAACAGAGAAGAAGCAGAGGAGAAAACTTTGACATCGTGTTCCTTTCAAACTTTGCAGGATAGGTTGAACGTCACTTAGACACAGGAAGCCCATTCAATATGTGCAACGACGGAAAACGTTTTTTCACCATGTTCTGAATGTATTTACAAATGAAAGTGTCTGATATACTTACTACTAGTTAAATCCTGTTTGATATTTGAGGCTTTTCGTAAATAGACAGATTTCTTAATTTGAAATGGTTAGGCTGCCTGTGGCAAGGTACAAAACTCCAATCACGTGATAAATGTGTGCCCCAAGCTAGTTTTTTTTTCTTTTTTTCCGAAACTGGACTAGTAGTACTTTTTGTCAGCCAGGGACTGAATGTCTACTCATGTCGTTCATCGCTTGTGTCAAATGTGTACGCTTATAGTTTTAGATGAAAAGCTTTATGTTAAAATCTTGAAACCTGGAGGCTTCATAAAAAGATGCAAATTTGTTCATCGCGGGAAAACCGGAGCAGAAAAATTAAACGTCTTTACCTTTTTAATTTTAACCATCAGATTGTTTAGCATGTGTAATTTATAATTAAAAAGTTTAATGCATAAGTAATTCGTAATTTGATAACTGAATTGTTTCGTCCCTTTCCTTACAGGCCACGGAAACGATAGAGCGGATTTCGTATGAGTGGGACACCGTTACCGTGGTGGAAGTGACCACTAAAAGGGTCTCCTGTATCATGGGATGATAGGCATAATGGGCATGAACCACAAAACTCATTTGACGGGACAAAAGGACGACGAGAACCCTCACACCCCTTTTATAATCCGTACACTTGTAGTTTCGTTGACCTTCAAAKGTATTTTTTCTGAACTGGCTGAACCGTCTTTACCTTTTTAATTTTAACCATCAGATTGTTTAGCATGTGTAATTTATAATTAAAAAGTTTAATGCATAAGTAATTCGTAATTTGATAACTGAATTGTTTCGTCCCTTTCCTTACAGGCCACGGAAACGATAGAGCGGATTTCGTATGAGTGGGACACCGTTACCGTGGTGGAAGTGACCACTAAAAGGGTCTCCTGTATCATGGGATGATAGGCATAATGGGCATGAACCACAAAACTCATTTGACGGGACAAAAGGACGACGAGAACCCTCACACCCCTTTTATAATCCGTACACTTGTAGTTTCGTTGACCTTCAAAGGTATTTTTTCTGAACTGGCTGAACTTCTAGAGTTGCATGTTCGCCTGGGTTGTTCACGTTTTAGCTCCTCCGACAAAAGTCACACCTTCCTCGTGACACCCAGTTTTCAAAGGAATTTGATATGGGTCCACGTTTCAAAGTATAACTCATTTTTTATATATCACTTAAACATAAAATGCGACATAACGACAATTTTCATGCCTGAATTGAAATGCATTGAGTCAAGTATTTCAATTTGTCAGGGCCATATAAAGGCACAATGGCTAGGCGTCCTTTAGGAATACACTTTTTTCATAACCTGTGCTAAACGTAGAAAAAAATAGAAAAGCAGAGCAGAAAAGTTTGGCCATGGATTATAAAAATTATAATCCATGCTTTGGCGTCATGGATTCACTTCAAGTTCCACTCAGTGCGTGATCTTCGCATCAAAACACAGGAAGCCCGTACAATATGCGTCAACAAGGAAGAAGAAGTTTTAACTTTGACGATGCTTAATTGTATGTATGATTGAACTTGATCAGATATACTTCAAGTATAGTAAGAACTTCTTTGATGTTGGAGATTGTTCGCAAAAAGAAGATTTGAAGAATTTTTAACGGGGCACCTGTGTTTTTCCGAAAATAACACGAATATTAAACGAACATTTATCGATGGTTCCATAACATGATGAAGTGGGTACGTACGTCGGTACTTGGACTCACTTGGGCATCTTTATACTGAAGAAAATAATGGCGAGGAAAGGACTCCTCCGTCGTATTTGAATAATAATTGCTGGAAAATCGACGTTACATTCAAGCGACACAAGTAAGTTTCAATCAGTTTGCGACACTTGCAATTACAGCTGTGGACAACCAAAACAGCATGGATGGTGAAGACCCATTCGACCACTTCGAGGAAGACGATTTACAACCGGATAACAAACCGTCGGCCAAGAAAAAAGCTGGAAGGTTAGTGAATATTCAAGTTCTTATATAAAAAGGTCTTGTGCTAAGCACATCCTTCGATCTCCAAAATAGTAACAACAATAATTTAGAATATTAAAACAACACGGCTGAAATTGATAAGACTTTGAAAACCACTAGCCATACTAGTCTTCGAAAACAATCTTTATATTGGATCATGGCACTCATGATTGCTTCCTTCGTTTTGAAATAGCCTTTTTGAACTAGCAAATAACAGGAAGTAAGTACATCCTTCGGTTGAACTTGAGTTACAAATGTTTTTTCGTGATCTCTACATGCACCACCCATCTAACTAGTAAATCGATCAGCTCGTGTGCTCACTAGACGACCGTCTTGTCTGCCAGACACGCTGTTGTAAACCTACTAGTTTTGCAAAGTCCGACACTAATTACATTATCTACGTGGGCTTAATACGGTTTTAAAATGCATATAAAAATCATTAGCTTGTGCAAGTTTGTGTTTTATGATTTTCACTCAGTTTTAGGTCATTATTTCATGTGTAGTACTGATTTGCATAAGCAAAATTAAAAATTAAAAAAAACAAAAACATTCAGACATGGGCAAAAACGATGAAATAGAAATAAACAAACGACTAAAAGAAATGGGAACACAATGCCACATATTATACTAAATAAAAAATATTTCAATGACTGATAAGAGAAATAGCTAGTCTAGTCTAGATAATATCTGTTTTGGATACCAATGGACTAGATATTTTGACTGACAACTTACAAAGGCAACTTTTTTTGATAATCCCCCAGGTTTATAAAAAGATGACTTCCCCCTAAAGTCAATTAACTTGCAAAATGAAGCACTCTATCCAAACAATCAAAGACATGTTATAATAAAGAATGAAATTATATTTTTTGTTATTATTGTTATTTATTGTTATGTTGTTTTGTGTTTTTGTTTATCTTATTGTCACATGTAAGCAAGGGATCTGATTTTGCTTTGACATTCATTTTCCTTTGCTTGAGGCAAAGGTCGCAGTCGTTCTTGTTTTCTGCTGTATTATAGGTTTTTCCAAAAAGATTTTCTTTATTTCGCTTGGTCCTTGGTGTTCTGGTATTAAGATTTTCATTAAAGTTTAGTCAATTTTGGAACAATATCACTTTTTGCCAAAAACCCCTTGGTGTGGCATTAGCAACAGTTCTAGAGAAGTAATAATTCTTATTGTAAAAAGAATATGAATATCTATCAATTGATTAGTTTTCTGTCGAGATACATGTAGTATGACCATTCTTTACAATTTTCTCTCTGCAACTTAATATTGATATATTTTCATGATTATGTGAATAAATAAATGTTTCAATGTGTATCCTTGCCCCCTAAGTCTGAGTATCGATCAGGTTCTCCATGTCCAGAGTGACATGGGAGGAGATTCTGACACAATCTTCGGCATTCCGTCTCTTGTAATGGGTAACTTGTGACAATAAGTATCAGCCAATTGAAATCTTTTCCAGTTGCTTTTAATATTTTGCTACCTTCTGTGATTCACTCTTGAACTGGAGTAATACATTTGATTTGTCTAGACCAGCTGGTTATTTAACTGTTGTAAACCCATTTCATGCAAGATTCTACTTCTGTCAATGCATCTTCCTTGATGAATATGCAGCTGCCCTCTGTCTTCTCTTGATGGGTGCTACAGACTTCAATACTTTCAGCTATTCATTACGACAACAACCTAACATCATTCCACGATGTCCTACAACTTTCTTTTTTGCTATTTCTTATTTCTTTTCTATTTCCATTACATTTCTTTTGCCCTCTTGGCCTAGTGTAGGCCTTAAAACAGTTATAAAGAACAAAGCTCTCAATAATAGAAGATTGTTTCATGCTCTCTATCTCATGTCATTCATCCTCAATCCCATTCAAGAGAGCTTAATACTCAGGCTACCTTACCCACACCCATGAGGCTTTTGTTTTTCTTTAATGAAATAGAGACCAGTTTTAAGAAATGCAAAGGAATACTCCACTTATAAAAAAAGTGCCACACAAAAGACAATGGAACAGTTGGTGTTATTTTCAAGTTTGAGACTCTTTTGTTCAAGAATTATTATCAATGTCTGAGTGGGATTTTTTGAAATAAGTTAAAATGTTTATGCTCAAATTTCCTTGGCACCAGTCTCTTTTTGAATTCTGGAAAGGCCAATGAGCACCTTGGTCATTAGGGCAATGTGGGAATCCACTGTGCTTTGAGTGTTTACACTTGATAAAGCTTTGTCCTGAGTTGATGGTGTATGATATAGTACGTATGATAGTATAAAGTAATAATAATCAATTATTGTGAGTGATCAAAGTGTTGGTGTTTGATTTAGTTTATTACAAGGACTTCTATGACTTAATCTGGGTATGGATATTCCCAACATGTGTTACTTTGTATTAGCTTTCCAAAGGAACTAACTTTTTAATAACTGCAGTTTGTCATGTTTAGTCTAAGATTCAATTCCAATTATATCAACTATCTGAAATTTATACACAATACTAAGTAAATATGTAGCAGTACCTGGCCAAAGGCAAAATGGCTATCAATGAGATAACAGCGAGGAGAACATTTACCAATACTCAGGTAGCCTAAGAGGAATAATATTGCTTTAGTATGTACACAATCAGTCACTGATAAAAGCAAGTCAACATATTTGGTAGAAAAATGTTGAAAAATGAGAATGATCAAATGCACGTGCTAGCATGTGTTTTCACTTATAGAAATTTTGAAGCAAGATTTTATTTTTGAATTTGTACACTTGATACTAGACTGATTCCAACAGTCTGTCAGGTCGCTCTTTTTTTTTCTGCTCCCGCTAGTTTGAGCGACAAACCGAAAAATCAAGGAGCGAATACTACGACTTATGGAATCAGTCTTACTTGATACAAAATGAGATTTTTTTCATTTTATGTAATATATAAAATATGAGTGGGAGACATTTATGGGCATTTAAAACTGCGAGCTGCAAGCGAAAAAATACCATTTGTAAGATAAAATCGAAGTTAAAGTCGTGTGCAAATCAGGACAAATCTCTTGCTCATATAAAGATGTGGTCACGGCAATGATTTTCCAGTGTTTACCTTATGAATTATTAATGAATTTGATTTTTTATTTATTATAAATTTATTTACTATTTATATTTATTAGTGTTGTTATTTATTTTATTATTTTTTGCTTTTGCTAATTTGCAGAATGTTTTCATCTCAATGTCTAGACCAATAAAATTGCATGTTCTTTGAAGGTTACTTTCTTCCTCCTGAAATGGTTTAAAAAATAGAAAACTATTTTTTTTCTATTAAAAATGTTTATATGTTTTTACATCTTAGAAAATGTGAATAAAATTGTTTATATGTTGACACCTTGTTTAGCTTGCCTGATAAGATATTTCTTTACAAATTGTATAGAATTGAAAGTATTTCCAAAGATAAATACCACTTATAAATGTCATTCCAGTCTGCCTTGAAAAGGGGTATATGTCTCGGCGAGTTTTCTTTTCTTTTTTCGGAACCGATTAATTTAWAAATAGACCTTTTAGAAAAAATTACGTCAAGATGCTCAAGATATGTGATTGTATATAAATACCGTAAAATGAGTTTTATTTTCAACCCTAAATGGCTGACATTTATAGTTTGCCTAATTTAATGCATTAAAACCTATCACGTGTCGAYTTACGGTTGTTTCGACCAATCAAATAACATCATTATGAAAGTAGCACAGATCGGCCTTCAAGCCGCCAACGGTATAAACAATCGCCATTTTGGAACTGGTGTGCAATTTGAATTGATTTTCGAAGGATTTCGCTCCTTCTGGACCACTGCGCACGGCGATTCCATCGCTCGTGTACGCACGGCATATAAAGTTCGGTTTTTGTTCGACTAAAATAATACAACGTGCGAAATGCCGCCCGATAAGCACCAAGATCTGAAACCGCGGTGAGCTGAACTAATATCGAGTCCCCAAGTGATGATAGACGATGCGTGTTACTCGCTCTTGTTCGCGTTTCTTGCATACTAACATCATTCCATACGAGAGAGTATTGCCAAAACAACTCTCAACGGCTTATGTGATTTTTATATCTGATCGGTTTTTTGTTGTTTTATTTTTAGGACGAAGAGTGGTGACAATGTCAGGTAAGTTATAAACAGTTTGTACACATGTTTGCATGCTGAGCTGACATTACGGCCCTTCTTTGAAGCACAAAATCTACAGTTTTGGAGACGAAACTGCTGTTTTTGATATGAATCTTTGTTTGTCCAGAAGAATCAAAAGTGTTTACAAAAGTCGTCGACACAGACGTTCGAGTGACTGTATTACCCTCTTATCACCACGTTCAAACCGAATTGCACTCGTGGCGCCGACTGACAGCAAATTTTCAGAAATGACAGATAGTTTTTGCTTGTATCAATGTATCTGTGCATTGTTTGAAGAAATCTTTCAAAATGGTACGAATCCGAAGAAAAGAAACACTTGCGTGATTTTTAAAATCGGCACTGCTTTTGAAAACTCACAGGACGAACAATAAACAAAACATCAACCAAACAGTATTGCTATTAAGTCTTGTATTTTACGATTTGTGGTTTGATAAATATGTTTGTTGATCAAACGGCTGATTTATTACAGACTTTAGAAATGTTATTGCGCCTAACATGTTGTGAGAGCGAAATCGTGTTTCAGTTCAGACGCATTGTGGATGATTATAATAACTGTTACTCTCATTTGTACGTTTAGTTTGAAATTTGTACATTTTAACAATTCGACGTAGATAAAGTAAACACGCGTTTTAATCGTCTAGAAATCGTTGATTTGTCGTATTTGTTCAAGCTGTCAAATTGTGGTTGACTGAACTGTTGACCCAAAAGATTTTCTTCTACTATCGATGTATACTACCTGTCTCAAAAAGGATTCCGAATTACATTGCATTGTTTGCTAGATAGATAAACACCTACCTTTTATGTAAGGTGTTCTTTTATATAAGGTATTCTTTGCGTCCGAGATTATTAAATAAATACTTTTTAACGAAAAATTGAAATGTTTGTCATTTTTTTTTCTTTGTTTGATAGAAATAATGAAATCTCAATTCATACAGTTTAATATTAAACAAGGCATTGTCTATGAATCTTCTATAGATAAGATATGATCACTGGCTTTGTTTTGATTTACATGCTAGAATAAATAAAAATATTTAATAGTAGAAATGTTAATATTGCAAATCAGATTGTTGCTAAGTTGTGAGTTATTGGCACTATCAAATATTGTCATGACAATATCTTTTGAAAAGTAGACTTCAGCTATAAACAAGAAATAGTACCAATAGTAGACATTTAATACTGGAGCAATCCTTTACAGCTATTTTCCATACTATCTATATGTCTACTTGTATTGCGCAATGACGAGATAAGCTAATGACATGGGAGGTACGTTCATGCATATGTTCAGAGAGGTTAATTATTCTACCTTGCGCATAAGATGCAGGTGGTATTCTTTGCCCGAGGCAAGAAAAATAACTTTGAGTTATTTTTGAAAAGTGAAGTTTTATGACTTCAAAATGATTTACAGTTTTTTTTATAYTACTTGTAAAACACAAAAGTGGAAATGTGGTTTGGATAGGGAGTTTGGGACTTAATTGTTATGCTATTCAGTTCTTTTCACTCTTAAGACATCATATGAAGCATTCTAGACATTTGTCTCAATAACATAAGTATCACTTAAATTGCAAATAAGAGTCAGTCAAGAATCTCAAGAATAGAACSTGCTCAGTCGGGTTASAATTTTTAGATTTCRAGGCTCTGTTGCTTTTGTGCAAAATTCAARAGTGAAGGTGGGGGGATTAGGGTACTCAACGGGTTATCCAAAAATTATTTCTGAAATAAAATGATCTAATAAAGTATTTTTTGCATGATATCCCCACTAAAAACTTTAAGCTAATTTCTATTTAGCTAATAGTCCAAAACTATGTGTCAATTATACAATCACAAACTGTGTTTATGTAGGGTTATTGAAATGCGAAAGGAAAGATCAAGAAATGCTGCAAGAAATAGAAGAGGAAAGGAAAATGCTCAGTTTGATGARCTTGCAAAGTTGTTGCCACTCCCTGCGGCAATTACATCGCAACTTGACAAGGCTTCAATTATACGACTTACCATCAGTTATCTTAACATGAGGGAATTCTCAGGAGCAGGTATTATTTTTATTGTATTAATAATGATCACGTCATGTATAATAATTTTGTGTTGTATGTCCTCTTATTAATCCAAGTGTGACATTATAAAAGGTTAAAATCACAATTGGAACCATGAGTGTAGCAACATACAACAAGAAAACATGCTTTTAGTCAAATCAATTATGAGMTTTTAAGTTAAAAAATGCATTCCTTTCTTTGAACTGAGAATGTAAGACGTGATGGCGCCAACACAGTATGAATACCCAGCTATTGACAMACYATTAGCCAATCAGCTWTKGGTAATTCTGGTAGAAATACAGCGTGGATCAATGAATTKTAGTTCYTTTTRTTTCTGCTGGGAATTATAAAGRTGCACATGACATTAAGGAAAAGTTTGAGACAATTTCWTAGTAGTAATAATATGATAAAAGGGTTTGTGCTCATTTATGTAAACCTTTTTTGAATTTTTCTTGTTCCACTTATAGTGTAGAGAAAGTCATAGTACTTAGAAAGGAGGTTATTCYGGGTGAAATACCCTTYRAAATAAGTTCAGAAAATAAATTTMCARCTTTACTATGATTCAAACCCATGATCTTCAGATTTGTACTGCCAGTGATTTAGATTTCTAAATGGAGAACTTTGAGCAGCTCTAAATGAAAATGTAATAATCAGATAACTCACTTGTACCGGGCCGCTCGWTTCTTTGAAGTCAAAACATCCACTCAGCCAATCAAATTGTAACCATACCAGTCATACTGCATTTTAACATACTTTTAATATTAAGTTTCAAATTAAAGAACAGATGCAAGCAGATGAGTACTTCTATTTAGCTCTCATTGGAATAAAAACAAATCCTTCATTTAATTGTTCGTTTCCTCTTGGTTAATTAACACACAATTTAGTTAGTAATTTGTGTTGTTTGTGTCATGGATTAAGCGACTCCTATCTATTGACAGTAAGACACTAAATTTGTTTATTTCTAGTTCCCAAAATGCAACTCCAGCTCACCGATGGATCAGACATTAATCTATCACCAAGTGAAGAAAGATCTGGTAATAATTTATTTTTTCAYTTTAATATTAAAATATTCACAGTCATTAGCCAATCATAATCAWCWTGAACTATCAATGCAGSGTRGTATTTCTCAAATAATAATKATTTTATTTGCTTTCCTAATACAATTATTGTATTAGTTTCCTAATTATTGTATTATGAAAGCAGAGATATATATGATCAAGTAGGATTAAGTATATTTGGTAGGAGATTCAACAATTTTGTATACTTAACCATTGTTTGACATTTTTAGATGTGTCCCCTTCTCCTCAACCAAGTACAAGCAGAGAAGGTAGAGTTTTTGTGTAGTATCCATGTGCTATATCTATTGATGATTAACTTGACTTGTTATGTGTGTGTCTTTTRCAGTTGTCCATTATGACAGGCCTTCAACAAGTTCTGTGATTCCTGACCTTTTATCAGAAACTGGCTCTCAGCTACTTCAGGTTAGTTTCATTGA